ATCGATCCATTCAAAAAGAGCAGAGGCCAGCCCGGCCGGCATGGCTCAGTGGTTGGGTGTCGACCTATGAACCAGGAGGTCAAGGTTCAATTCCTGGTCAGGGCACATGCCTGGGTTGAGGGCTCATCCCTAGTGTGGGGCGTGCAGGAGGCAGCTGATCAATGATTCTCTCTCACCATTGATGTTTCTATCTCACTCTCACTCTCCCTTTCTCTCTGAAATGAATAAAAATTTTTTTAAAAGAAAAGAGCAGAGGCCAGAAAATTATCAGCCTCTACCAGATGTCTGATTTTACAAGATCCCATTAACAACTAAAAACTGCTTTTTAAAACCCCAAAAGTAGAAATCACCTCTCTTTTCATGCTGTCTCCCTTGTTTTCAGAGGCTCCCATGGGCAGAACTATAGCAAAAATCATCACCTATGGAAATTTATATTGTTTTTTGTACTCAAGTCAATTGTCAACATTGCAATGGACTCACCAGCAACAAAAAGCAAAGAGGTGTGCAACATTTGGGAGGTTTTGGGTTTGTTTGTTTGTTTTTAAGCTTTACTGACCAGAAAATTATTTATGAAATTACAAGCATAAAATATTTTATATTAGTTTTTATATATATTCAGATGCAATAGCCATAAAATACAAAACACAAAGCCATTAAAAAAAAAATCTCCTTTCCCCTCTGAAGTGGGATTTCTCCCTGCTGAGGTTGGGCCAAAATCCAGGACAGACTGAGCCATATGACTTTGTGGTAGGTAACATACCCACCACCTTCCCAGAAGCCTGACAAGACCTGCCTCAGGGGAGATCCACTAGCCCCGGCCTCCTGACTCTGCCAGAGGCTCTTTCGGTGACTGAGCCTAACAGCCAGCCAGCAGAGAGAAGCTATTTTCAAGGTGCCTTGGAACTTTGGGTGACCTACCTCTGGACGTGGTGCTGAAAAAAGCCATTCTAGGTATGCTGCCTGGACCTTCCCGCATACACCCAATCACACCAGAGGCAGCCACATACGGTGGATAACTTGTAGCTCCAAACAGGTTGCTGAAGGCAGGCACAGATAGTGTCTGACATTGGTCTGCACCAAAACCAACACACGCTGTACCAGCCTCAGACAACATCAGAACAGATCCAATTAGCTTCAAAAACAGGATATGCACAGGGAGATACTGGTGGGCGCCAAACCCTGCTGAGGCTAATTCCACTCATGTGGTCAGCACCAGCATGCCAGCTGACATGCCATGGTCGGGTTGAGCCGCATAGTTAGGTAGTCTGAGAGTGGATCCCAGGCTCAAATGCACCAATAGCAATCAAGATTCAATTACAACACGAAGGCCCACAAAACTCCCACAAGGGGCGTTCCTATGGTACTCAGCTCAGATGATCAAGGAGACTGTGCCACTGGGTCCCACAGGACACTGACTGCATAAGGCCACCCCACAAAGACTGTGAGTCACAGGTCTATTTACTACATAGAAACAGACACAAAAAGACAGCCAAAATGAGGAGAAAAAGATACAGACCTCAAATGAAAGAACAGGAAAACACTCCAGAAAAAGCGCTAAATGAAATGGAGCCAAGCAATTTATCAGATATAGAGTTCAAAGTAATGGTTCTAAGGGTGCTCAAGGAACTTAGTGAGAATACCACAGCATGACAAAGGACATTGGAGAAGGATGTTTTTGGAGAGGAGAAAATGGCAGGTGAGCAGGCAGACCTGTCGGGTACCTTGTCCCAGGGCCAGGCTGGAAATACAACGAAATTGGAGAACATTCTTCTGGAATTTCCAACTGTGGTCTAGCTGAGGAGGTGACTTACAACAAGGAAGAACAGAAGGCACCTGGAGACGGGTAGGAAGAGTGAGATCGTGAGGGGGGGATTGCCCAGAGCACACACACCCACCTGGGGCCCCGCAGCGAATGACCTGCCACGCCTCTGGACCTGGGGCAGCCTGACCCACAGCGCCCGTATCATACAAGCAGCTACAAAAGGTCGCAAGACTGTTGGCATCAGTGGAGTCTGGACCCAGCAGATCAGAGCCAGTAGGGGAGAAAGCTACATTTTTTATTCCCTTTATAAACATTTTTAAAAATTTTTATCTCTAAGCCCAAAGCACAGGAGTTTTATTTTGCAACTACACGCCCACGGCATTGGTGCCAGAAGGGAGGTGAGGACTTGAGGTGCCTGAGGTCAGTGGGGGAGAGGAAGCGGTGGCCAGAAGTCCTGCATTGGATCCCTCAAATGCTTCCAAACCAAATCAGCTATTTTCCCTGAGAGGAACTACCTCCTCCAAATGCCCAGAGGGCAGATAAAGGAAAATACCCTGCCCTGAGCGACACAGCCTGCCACACCCTGCATGTTGAGCTTACTGAGGGGACAAAGGCAGAGGCAAAGCTTAGGGGTCTGAACAGTCTCAAGGAGCCCTCGGTGACCGCAGTGGAGGCGTGGCCATCGCTCCACTATTCTAGGAACCAGACTGATAGAAACCCCAGGGTTCCAGCTGACAAATGATGCTGGGGGAATGGGATATCCACATGCGAAAGAACGACATTGGACTTTTACCTTACACTATATGCAAATATTAACACAAACTGGACCAAAGACCAAACGTAACAGCTAAAACTATAAAACTTTAGATGAAAACAAAAGAATAGTCTCATGATATTGAAGTTAGTAACAAGTTTTTGGTTACTAGCTTCAATAGTAACCAAAGGAAAAAAAATCAAAATTAAAATCTTTTGTGTGTCAAAGGATACTGTCAACTTAGTGAAATACAATTCACAGGATTGGAAAAAATGTTTGCAAATCATATCAGATTAGAGCCCTCCGTGTATAATTCTGGAAAATGTAAAATGTTGCAGCTACTGTGGAAAACAGAAAAAAATTAAGCATAGAATTACTATGCCCAGTAAATCCACTTTGGCTATATTCCCTAAGAAATGAAACCAGGAACTGAAATACTTATACAACTATGTGGACAGCTGCATTATTTAAAATAGGCAAATGAGTGAATAACCTAATTTGTCCATCTAGGGATGACTGAAGAAACTAAAGGTGGTACAATCACACAGTGGAATATTATTCATCGTTCAAAAAGGGAAATTCGGACACATGCTACAACATGGATGAACCTTGAAGATATTGTTATGTGAAATAACCAGGCACAAAAAGACAGACATCATGTGATTCCACTTATGTGAGTTTGCTAGAAATTCACAGATAGAGAAGATAGAATAGCCATTGCCAGGGACGCGGGGGAGGGAGAAATGCAGAGTTATTGTGTACTAGGTACCAAGTTTCAGTCTGGGAAGAATGACAAAGTTCTGAACATGGATGGTGGTGATGGTTGCACAACAATGTGAATGGACTTAATGCCACTAACTGTACACTTAACAATTGTTAAAAAGATACATGTTTGCCCTAACCAGTTTGGCTCAGTGGATAGAGCGTTGGCCTGCAGACTGAAGGGTCCCGGGTTCGATTCTGGTCAAGGGCATGTACCTTGGTTGCAGGCACATCCCTAGTAGGGGGTGTGCAGGAGGTAGCTGATCAATGTTTCTCTCTCAATGTTTCTAACTCTATCCCTTGCCCTTCCTCTCTGTAAAAAATCAATAAAATATATATATAAAAAGATAAATATTTGGTATATACATATCACCACAGTAAAAATAAAAAGCACACAAAAAATACTATGCATCTGATAGTGCTTCTGCAAGGTTTATTAATTAGTCCTAGATAGGAATTAGTTTACAAGTCCACATGAACATGGCACCATTTTTATCAAAAGATTTCAAAATCTGCATAGAAAATGGTGAAGTGGGAAAGGAAATGAGGTACTGATAGTATTTTTTTCTAGAAAATATATTCGGCAATGAGCATTTTTTTGTAATAAAATGAACAAACACATATTTCTGGTTTGTGCTCCTTAAAGTCTTAATGATGTACATTAATATTTAATATATAAATATATTTTCACAAACTGTCATTTAAATCCTGACATTAAATGTAAATTAAAAATCATTGCTTGGCAGGTGGGACTCAGTAGTTAAGCTCCCACTTATGAACCAGGAGGTCATGGTTCTATTCCAGGTCAGGGCACATGCCAGGGTTGCAAGCTCATCCCCAGTAGGAGGCATACGGGAGGCAGCCAATCAATGACTCTCTCTCATCATTGATGTTTCTATCTCTCTCTCCCCCTCTCCGAAATTAATTAAAAAAAATATTTTCAAGAAATCATTGAAGTAAATGTCACTAAAGTAAATTTCTTAAATTAAACCCCAAGAAAAGCTCGTTGAGGAAGACATAACAATCCATAACGTAGAGAGTGGGGAGGTAAAAGCAGTTTCTATTTTCCTCCTTTATTAAACCACATTTTTCTGTAAACACCTCCTTTCTGTGGATTTTGAGAGAAGCCTGTGTGGAGAAAATCCCTGCCTGGGGAAGGCAGGACAGGAGCACTAGGAATGCCAGCCTTCCCTGGAGACGCCCCCAGTCTGTCCCCTTTCCTCCGAGGATCTGGGCCTGACCATCGTGTCTGCGTTTTGCGCATTGTCATTCCGCTCGATTCCTCCCGAACCCAGCTGCTCCCACCTGTGAACAGTGAGCACATCCGTCTCGGGCTCTTCCTCCCAGCAGCCCGCCCCGCGGTTTGCTGCGGGACAAGCAGGAACCGCTAGACCAGATGTTACTGTCTCCGCGCCCCCGAGATTTTAACCAGGACTAGGACCCGAGCGCACTCGGGGTATCCTGACATCCACTCGGGGCATTCCATCGCTTTGCTTCGTAAACCACCCTCTGCGCACATAAACTCGGGGTATTTAGTTGATCCTCATAGTGTCCAGCGGCCCCCAGCTCGCCTTCCCCAGAGTCCACTGAGGTAGGTGCCCGCTGCTCTGGGACAAGCTGGGACCCTAGCGTCCTCCCGAGTCCCAGTACCCGAAGTCCCGCCCACAGCCGGCTCAGCCAATCCCGGTGCGAGCTGGCGGTGGGGGCGGGCGGCGGCGGCGGGGCCCCAGCCTCGCCCCGGAGATTCCTGGACCTGCTTGTGCTGACTGCTGTTTGCGCAGCTGCTCCCTCCGCAGGTGAGCAGCCCCTCCCCCCGCCGCCTTCAAGCCTGCGCCTGGAGCGGCAGGGCCACCCCGAGAACGAGCGGCAGGGCCACCCGCCGCCCGCCTTGGGGGTCGAGGGTGTGGGGGTCCCAGGAGTCGAGGTCCCCAGGTCTGACCGAGCGGACCGAGGGGTGATGGGGGCCGCTGCTCCCTGCACCAAGTCAGCATCCCCTGGCGGCGGTTGTGTGCGGGGACTGGGACGGCGGCATGCCTCTTGCAGGGTTGGTCGGCTGCACCTGAGTACCTGACCCTGAGCCGGTTCCCTGACCCCGGGGGAACCTCACCCTCTCTAGGCTGGGGAATGGGGGTCTCCGGGCTGTTTTCCTCCACCCACCTCTTAAGCCTTCCTCCACAGTCCTTGTGTACTTACTTGGGAGGGTCAATTACACGTTTTACTCCAGGTGGCTGTAAGGTCTCAGGGGAAGGAGTGGTCTCATCGGAGACCCATTTCTCTTCCCTTCCTAGGTTTTTGAAACATGAATCCTTCACTCCTCCTGGCTGCCCTTTGCTTGGGAATAGCCTCAGCTGCTCCAACACTTGATCTCAGCGTAGACGCGCAGTGGAACCAGTGGAAGGCAGCACACAGGAAACTCTATAACGAGGTTGCTAACATCCGAAACGGTCCAGAGGGACTACCCAGAAAACGGTTCTTGCTGTTGGGAGTTTAGAGCGGAGAGTAGCTTCTTGAGACGGGCTCTTAACAGGCCATAACTTCATGGCCCGGTTACTGACACCCTGGGGCTTGCATCCCGCTGCCAGGTGCTGGAGAACAGCTCCCAGACGTGGCAAGCCTCCCCTGACGGTGGTTTGCATTCTTCTGTCTGCAGATCCCCTTGGTGAGGGTAGGCTGGGTTTTCAGTAGAAACGAAGACAACGTAGTGTGCGCTTGCCTCTAGAGTGAAGAAGGTTGGAGGAGAGCGGTGTGGGAGAAGAATATGAAAGTGATCGAACTGCACAATTGGGAACACAGCCAGGGGAGACGTAACTTCACCTTGGCGATGAATGCCTTTGGCGACATGGTGAGTGTGGCATCAGAGGCTGCGCTTCCTCTCCTCAGTGCTTTACCACAATAATCTCTTCCTTTATGACATTCTGTGTCTTTTTCCTTGAAGACCAATGAGGAATTCAGGTTGGTGATGAATGGTTTTCAAAACCAGAAGCACAAGAAAGGGGACATGTTCCAAGAACCAGCCTTAGCTGAGATCCCCCCATCTGTGGATTGGAGAAAGAAAGGCTGTGTAACTCCTGTGAAGGACCAGGTAGGACCGTGTCCAGCAGATCATCTGCTCTCCAGGAAGGAGTACAGCCGTAAAGGCGTTGCTCTCCATGAAGTGGGAGGCCGTGGAACAATGCGCAGTTTGCTATTTTTAAAAACAGTTTCCAGATATAGCGTCTGTTGTCAAAGTCTTGCTATTGGTTTTGTAGAATGAGCGCTTTTGAATTTTGTTTTCAGGGTGGGTGTGGTTCTTGTTGGGCTTTTAGTGCAACCGGTGCCCTTGAAGGACAGATGTTCCGGAAAACTGGCAAACTCGTCTCGCTGAGTGAGCAGAACCTGGTGGACTGCTCTCGCGCTCAGGGCAATGAGGGCTGCAGTGGTGGCCTAATGGATAATGCCTTCCAGTACGTCAAGGACAACGAAGGCCTGGACACAGAGGAATCCTATCCATATTATGGAACGGTAATATCATTCTAGCTCTGCTTTTGAGTGTTGAGCACTTCAGAGACAACACTTACCATATTTAGAATTCACATTTTAGGCTGGAGACTCTGTATCTACAAACTGTCGGAGCTGCACAGTTCTCTGTTTAGATGGTCACCGTATAGCTGTTCCTGCTGCTGTGTTACATGAGATTTACATACCATTCTCTAGATAGGAAAAGTTTCTCATGGCCAGGGAGACTGAGAATATCTCATTGAATATACACACCAGCTAGTTCTTCAATTTCAAAGCCAACCAATAGCACTTCACCTCCTGGGATGCTTTATAACAAACTTGACTTAGAAATCATTAAACTGCCAATTGTCTGAACTCATGTTCCCTGGGAGGTACAATATAATCACGACTCTTCCCTTTTACCTTTAAAAGGATGACACTTGCAAGTACAAGCCTGAGTTTTCTGCTGCCAATGACACTGGTTTCGTGGACATCCATAAGGACGAGAGGTCCCTTATGAAAGCAGTGGCAAGTGTGGGGCCCATTTCTGTTGCTCTAGATGCAAGCCTTGAGTCCTTCCAGTTCTATGAAAAAGGTGAGGATTTGTCTGTATATAAATTCAGGCAGAAATATTATAAACCACCCTGACATACAGCAAGACCGACTCTTCGGCATGTAGAATTCCTGGATGTGTGGATTTAACATAGTTGTGCATTCTATACATGTAATATTTGTGCCAGATGTTGTCCATCTGACATGACTTAAACCATATCCCCATGATTTTAAGTGCTTCATAAATATATCAAATGGCTGCATAATTTGGCTGATATAGCTTCATTTACTTTACTTTTAAAAAGTTGTTAGACCTTTAAAATATTCCAAGAATTTTGCTACTGAAATGAAAACTGGAAAAAACCCTTGGCTCAAGTAGTTTTGTTTGTTTTCTTAGATTGACATCCTAAAAGTAGAATATGTTTTCAACCAGTGGTCTTTTATGCCTCTTGATAAGTTGTTTCTAAAAGTGATCGTGGCAACTTGTATTTCTCTTAGTATTACAGGAGGGCCTAACTCCCAGCCTAGATTTTTAAAAAATCCTGTTTTTAAATATTGCCTGGATTTATGTACTCTAACTGAATGTTGAGATGCCTCTCTTACTGGTTGACAGGCAAAGTTACTGTCAGTTCTTACCTGGAGATCTTCACCCCAGCAATGACTTCTGTGTTCCTAGGCATTTATTATGATCCGGATTGCAGCAGCGAGGACCTGAATCATGGTGTTCTGGTGGTTGGCTATGGCTTTGAAGGAGTAGAAATGGATAACAATAAATATTGGATTGTCAAGAACAGGTATAAAATGCCAGAAGTACTTATATTTGATTTTGGAAAGGGAATCCCAAGCTTGCTAGGGCATCGATACCATTTTGGTACCAATGCATTTCTAAAATTGAAAATGTCCTTAATTCTGAAACACACCTGGCCCCAAGAGTTCTCTTTTTCAATTTCTAATTTTGCAGTTCTGTGAAAGGTTTGGGGATAGAATTATATGCAGGTTTGGAACCCAGCCATGAGCAAGAACTGTGGTCTCTCCTGCTTCTTTCTGAATCGGTCTGGGCCTCAGGCACACTGTTTAAGCAACAGGTGTTATTGTTGATAAACATCGATGTGTTTGGTTACATGTATAAAATGGAAACCCCCTCTTCTTTCAGCTGGGGTACAAAGTGGGGCATGGATGGCTACATAAAGATGGCCAAGGATCTGGACAACCACTGTGGGATCGCCTCCATGGCCAGCTATCCTACTGTGTGAGATGGTGGTGACTGAGATGTGATTAAGAACAGAATAACCAGAGGATGAATATTATCTTAAAACTCATCAGAACCCTGGCTGATGTGGGTCAGTGGTTAGAGTGTCAGCCCAAGCACCCGAGGGTCTCGGGTTCAATTTCCAGTCAAGGGCATATACTTGGGTTGCAGGTTTGATCCTGACCCCAGTGAGGGTCTGTGTGGGAGGCAACCAATTGATGTGTCTCTCTCACTTCGATGTTTCTTTCTTTCTCTACTCTCTCTCTCTCTCTACCTCCCTCTCTCCTGTCCATTCTCTCTCTAAAAATAAATAAATAATTAAATAGGAAAACATTCTCAGGTGGGAATTATTAACAACAACAACACAAACAAACAAAAAACCAAAACCCTGCTCAGACCTGTGGGATAAAACAGTTGAGTCATTGAATATCTAAGCTGTGATTTGAATTCTGCAAGATTTTACACTGGTAAAATGTTCCACTTATTTAATTATTGTGTTAACAGTTTGTATGATTGACTTGCCTAATAACTTTTGCATTTTTATGTTTAAAAAGGATGCGTACATTTTTATCTTTTAAAATAAAACTTTCAAAATAGAGGTGGAGCTTCTATTTGTTTTTAAATGGTGAACATTTTGTATAGCGGAAAATGTAATTGGGCTCTAGAGCCATAACTGAATGTGCTAGTGGTCCATTAGGAGAAGGGCTGGGGCCTCTGGCCGTTCTCCTTATAACCAGGCAGATCTCAGGTTCGTTGTCCCTTGCCTGTGTCTGACTCAACTCTTGAATGGAGCAAAATTTAACAAATGCTCCATAAAGAACAAAAGTAAGTTATTTTAATAAATAAAAAATTCACGTATTAAATAAGAGATGACACATATATAGGATTTCCAGACTAGACAGGCACTTGAGAGGACATGGCCATTTGACACAAGCTGGTTACAGTCCAGCTGAGTGACGGTCAAATGTCACAGGGCCAGCTTCTGAAGCACCTTCTCCAACTGTTCGTAAGACCATGTGGCTACTTTGCAGTTGAGAAAGGACACAACATAGAGGATTGCCAAGAATGCTTGTCTTTGGGGCCCCAAGGGGTGAAGGATGAGCTCCTGGATTTGAGGCTGGGCTTCAAAATTAGTGCTGTGGCCTCAGAGGTGGGTGAGAGGTGAGAGGGTCAAAAGTGATAGGCCTAATTTATACCTAGCTACCTTATCTCTGAATTTATTTCAAAACAAAACAAAAACAGCAACCTAATTCTATATTCTGCAGGCCAAAGAAGCACATAGTTCCATTTGTTGTCTGTTTCCCCTCAAGGAAATATAAAGAGCAGGTGGAAGTATTTAGTTAATAGACCCCACAATTACTTATGAAGACATGAAGTGTAGGACACCGGGGGACTCGGCCCCAAGGCCTCCAGCAGCCTCTGTACAAGTCTGTCTGTCCTGGACCATGTGCCCTGCTGGACCCTCAGTGTGGCCTTCCCTCGCAGGCCTTTAAATTTACAACTTTGTGACCTAAAGTGATAAATGTGCTTAGAGTGAAACTCTGTGGGTTCTGTGGCCAGACTAACAAGTGTGTTCACAGGAAGATTTGGGAGGCTCCCAAACTGAACACTTTTTGCTGCTTGGTACCTATATTGAAACATCTGGAGTCTATGTGCCCCCACAGTGCCCCAGTCATCACCTGTGGGAGTGACAAGCGGGAGCGGGTGCTTTAGGGAGAGGGAGGCCTGGGAACACCAGCAGGAGGAGGAATCTGACATGAACCCAGGGAGCCATGCAATGAGACAGGATAGAGATGGTGTCTGAGCAGAGACTGGTGGACAGCATCCCTGAGAAAAGAGAAACCACATTTAGGGAAAGCGGGGAGAGAGTGAGCTGAGGTGTAGGAGATGAGGCTGGGTCTACACGTGGGTTTTATAGACACATGGACCACTGGGAGTGCCCTGAAAAGACTGTTCCAGTTATCTGTTTCTGTAAAAAACTACCCCAAAACATCCCAGCTTTACAGTAACCATCTTTCCCACTTCCCATCTGGCTTAGCAGGGTGTTACCACTGGAAGTCTCTCCTGAAGGCCTGAATTGTCTGTAGGTCTGGCGGGACTCACAGCCAAGTGGACTCACATGACTGTCCCGGATGCTGCTGACCAGAGCACATGCACAGGCCACAGCATGGAGACTGCCTCTGAGAGGGCTGCCCCTGGAGGCAGGGTGCCAGGACGCCCAGGGAGGACCTGTAAGGCTACTTAGGACCGTGTCTAGTCCCCAGTGGAGTCTCTGTGGCTGTATTGTAGTTGGGGGATGTCACAGAGAGAGCCCAGGTTCCAGGGAGGGGGCTGGGGCCAGGTCACTAGCAGAGGAGCATGGGACATGGAAGCTATGGTGGTGGCCATCTTTGGAAAATACAAACTTGCACATTTCATCTTGAAAAATCCACTGGAAAGGATGTCTTGGGAATGTCATCTTGCTTCACCATAACAGGTCAGCCTAGGCTGCTGTCCCTGGAATTCCGGAAGTTCACACCAAGATAGAGTGAGACCTCTCAGATTCCAAATGATTAAACACATATAAGGTTTTGTCATTTTTCAAGACATTCATATTTAAACTTGGGGAAAGTTTCAAACCAAATGATGTCTAAATGATTAAACAGATATCAGAAGTTTCTGAAACTTTCATATTAACTTGTGAAGAGTTGCAAGCCGTAGCTATCATATTTTTAAAATAGGTCAATGAACATAGATTAAATAAAGCTGAAAACAAATTTCAATTATACAAAAGTCTTGTCTGAAACATAAACTTACTATCAGAAGCTGGAAGAGGCAACAGAAGTTTCAGCTTCCACAACCTCAGAGGAAGTATTGCCCCACAGACACTCTCGGTTGGAATTCTAGCCTCAGGACGGTGAGAATCAAGCCTGTGTGAGCAATGGAATGTCAGCCCCTGTGCACAGCTGGACTGTGTTCTCCTCAGCAGCCCAGGGACCCAGCTGGCCTCAGCCGGTCAGGACCAGCCGGACAAGTCAGACCTGCTGACCATCCAGGCAGGACAAGCAAAAAATCTATCCACTCTAAATGGTTCTCAGCCATGCATTACATGCAACAAGACCGAGTTTTATTTTGACAAGTTTTCATCTAATGTCTTAGGATTCCGCTGAACTCAAAATATCTTACCATCCACAAGGGAATCAAGCAAGATGAGAGACATTTAAGAAACCCAACAAGGTGTAGCATGGGCATCACGGGTAGCAGTGAATTTAGGGATCTGCCAAGCAGAAAAAAAAGGCACAAGAAGGTTTGGGAATCTTTTGCCTCCTCACATGTCCTCTCTCATCTAAATCTAGCACTGGCTGGGTTCCATACCGGAGACCAAGGATACCTTATCGAAAAGCATTCTCACTCATCAAAATGCACTTAAGGCACATGTTGCCTCTTTACTCTCTGGTCCAGTTTTCACGGGATGACATCAAATGTTTTCTGTTTTTCCGGGTGAGAGAGAAAAGACCATGAGAAACATATGAAAAATGCATGGCAATGATGGAAATAGGGCTTAATATTAGATACGCTCCTCAAAGAGTAGTGGTGACCCAAGACGGCCTGCCTGAGCATGGGGACTACAGCTGGTCTTTTTGGCACCGAAGTCCTGACCTTTGACAGGAAGTCTTCTTCTGAGACCACAGCCTCTGGGTTTTGTGCTCTGCCCCTGGGGTGACTCATGGAGGTAGTACTGGTTGCCACTTCTGTGCTTACAACCATCGTTCCTCCTGAAGTCTTGGGAGCCTTTGTCACATGATTGCCATGCTGTCCTGGGTGTCAGTCTCACTTCCAAGAAGAAGACAGGTTCCTGGGGATGAGCTGCATTCCCCAACGGAAAGCCCAGAATACACAGCCGCCAGCAGAGTTAACCATTTCCCTGCTGGGAACCTTCATTTATCTTCTTCCCACGAAGCTTCCCAGCCATCAGATGCAGATCAGGCCATTCTGAGAGGTGGTGAGATACCAGCAGGGAAGAAGGATGCCTAAAAACTTGAATATAACATTTTGCAATGTTTTGGAATATTCTTTTACTTTAACTGTCTTTCTATGTGTTTTCTGTGCCCTTCCCTATGGGCTTTCTCCCAGGTGTATACCAGGCTCTTCCCTTTCATCTCAATGTGGCTGAACTGTCACCCTCTCCATGAGGCCTGTCACTGCCCAGAACTAAAATTAGAATAACCTTCCCTAGCATTGCTCTTCTCTTCCCTGATTTATTTTTCCCACAGTATTTATACCACTTGACACACACACTTCATTGTATTTATTGCTTTTGTTTATTGTGTCTCTGCACACATTAGCATTGAGTCTATATACAGATGGAAGAGTTTTGTTCACCTCTCTATTCTCAGCACTGAGGACAGGACCTGGCAAACAGTAGGCACACAAGAAAACCTGCTGCCAAGATGAAATGACCTGGCTGCATTATGTATGAGTACACTGTCGGGGTTTTAAGAGTCAAGCAGTGAAGTAAAGCGAAGTCCCTTTTTGGTACTCTATCCTCCAACACACATCCCTCTTCCTCAGGGAAATAACCACAATTATTAATTCACTGATAGTAATAGTCCTTTTTTCTTGGTCTTTACCCCAAAACACATGCAGTTTTGTTGGGTGCTTTTTAAAATTTTTACAAAAATGGCATTCTGTTATATCTGTGAAATGCCCTTTTCACCTACCATTTATAGCTGAGTCATATGTCCTTGTTTGTATTTCAGACTGAGATGATTAATTTTTTTTAATCCTCACGCAAGGATATGTTTATTGATTTATTTTTTAGGATATGTTTATTGATGTTAGAGAGAGGAAGAGAGAGAGAGAAACATTAATGAAAGAGAGAAACATCCATTAGTTGCCTCTTGTACACACCCCGACTGGGGATCAAACCCGCAGCCTAGGTATGCACCCTGACCTGGAATCAAACCCAAAATGTTTTTGGTGTATGGGACGGCACTCCAACCACCTGAACCACCAGGTCAGGACACTGAAATGGTTAATTTTAAGTGTCAACTTGGCTAGACAATGGTGCCCAGTTCTTTGGTCAACCTCTCTGGAGGTTGCTGTGAAGTTACTGTGTAGAAGTGATTAACATTTACAATCAGTTGAATTTAATTAAAAAAGGGAACTGGACGCCCAATGTAAAAGAATGAAACCCCACCACTATCTTACACCATGCACAGAAATTAACGCAAATGGATCAAAGAGGCCTTCTCAGATGTTTATTGACTATTTGTGTTTACGCTTCTGAAAATTGCAGTTCTATACCTTTAGTTTATTTCTTTATAGATAGTTTACCTTTTTCCTCTTAATATCTATTATTCTTGATACTCATTTTTGTTATATGTTACAAATATTTTCTCTTAAGCTATCAGTTGTTTTTCTTTTAGAGAATTGCATTTATTTAATTTTTATTATTTTATGTATTTTTATTGATTTCAGAGAGAAAGGGGAGAGATAGAAACATCAATGATGAGAGAGAATCATTGATCAGCTGCCTCCTGCACGCCCCCTACTGGGGGTTGAGCCTGCAACCTGGGCATGTGCCCTTGACCAGAATTGAACCCAGGGCCCTTCAGTTCGCAGGACGACACTCTATCCGCTGAGCCAAACCGGCCAGGGCTATCAGTTGTCTTTTAACTTTGTGGTCTGTTGATTTTATTTTGATGTAATCAAATCTCTTTTTTCTTTATATCTTTCCTTTGTGTCTTTTGGTCCCATTCAAGGTCATAAATATAGCACCATTATCTTTTTGCAATACCTTTATATTTTTATTTTTTATATTTAATTCTGGAATTCATCTGCAATATGTTTTGGGGATCTAGTTTTATATTTTTTTTTTCTCCAATGACTAGCTAATTATTCAAAAACCAGCCATTGTTTCCCCACTAATTTGAAAAAGTATGTTTTCTTCTTATTTTTAAAACGCACCTATTAAAATGATGATATGACTTTCCTCCTTTCAGTGTGTTAACTGCCTCCAGTCGCTGAAGCCTGTCTCCCCAAAGAATAATGGAAACCAGTGAATGATCCCACCTTTCCCAAGTGGGGAATGTACAGTCCACTTTTGAGAAATGATTGAAAATGGAAAGGAAAGTGGGTTTTGCCCTGAGACAGACACAAACATCTACACTGGGAAGCCAATCAAGAGGAAATGAGAAACCAAGAGGGAAGGGTTCTCAGCTCACGTGGGCCAGAGAGCCCCCTCCTTTCTGGACCTTGGCTACAGAAGCACCGGCCACCCAGGCCCCATTGCCCCATTGTCCTGGTATCTTTGATCTATAGCCTCTGAGAATGGCATGGGAGTCCCATACTCTTCCCTCACCCCCTTTCTTGGGCTTGATGGGAAGAAGAATGCACATGACTGGTGAATGGACCTTTCCCGGAGCCACCACTGCCATTCATCAAAGCAACGTACACTATGATTGAAAATGCTCTCAGCTTTGTTTCCAAGAAAACCTCCTCTTCCTGGCTCTGTAGTCTTTATATTACATGCTGTCAACTCAGCAAGTCAAGGTATTCATGAGATTTTGAAATGAAGATTTCAGTGAAAGTTTGAGTCGCACACCCAGCCTCCTCAAGGGTCTAGATCTCAGGCAGGTTAAAAATTAACCATTTGAGATATACATTTCAAATAGAGTGTCTAATAAAGCATTCATAGCCCACTGATTAGAATCAGGATTTTTTTTCCGAAGAAAAGAAATTCTTTGTTCCTTTATAGAAAGATGAAAAAATTTTAATTTATGTATTAAAATGTGGCTGCCTCTGTTACTGCAGCCAAGCCACAGTGGACTGAAGAACAAGGTAGAGTCCTGAATTAGAGTCCAGCGGAAATCTTCCTCTGGATTGAATGAACACCCTGACCCAAGGAGAGCCTTGCTTCTTCCCATGGGTTCTCCTGGGCCCCACCTCCAGCCGCCACCTTTTGCCTTAACTTAATGCATCAATCACTTTAGTGGATTTTCTAATGTGAATCATTCTTGATTTTCTTAGTTAAGCCTGATGGCATCCTGGTGCTTCTTTGTTTTAAATACTTCTGGATTTGATTTGCCCACATTTCATTAAGGACTCTTGGCATCCAACTTCATGCACATATATAGCCGTTCTTGTTAAAACCAGCTCAGATGTCTGATGCACATGCCACCCATCCCAATGTTGACATAATTGGACAAATGGAGAGTCATTTAACCAGTGCACTCTGTGGAATCCCTGGGATTGATTACAATATTTTCCCCAAAAAACAAAAATGCAAAGTCAAGGGTTTGAGAAAAGTAGGTGTTAATTTTTAAATATTAGCTCCATTTAGTATGTCGTCTTCACAGTAGGTGTCCTTATTTTTTCATTCATATTTTTATTGGTCGTTCAACTTATTGCTCCCCCAAAATGGATCAATCTGACAGTTGAGAATTTAATAGCCATGAGTTTTCTAACTCAAAACTTATCCAAATAAGACAAAAAGTCAGATATATATATATATATATGGGACCCAGTGCATGAATTTTTGCACCTTGAAAGGAACTGTGGGCCACAAGGCTGCAGTAGGCACAGGGGTGCATCTCAGCCCATCCTCTGCACCACCACCCGGCCCCTCCTGCCAGCAGCCCTGCTCCCATGCTCCCACGTGCTGACGGCGCCATGCTTGGGGATGGTGGCAGCAGCAGGTGTGAGCACCAGGCAGGACCTCAGCGTGCGGGAGCAAAGAATTTTCAGTAACCACCAGAGGCTCACCCCAATGACAGCAACCGGTGCCCCACCTTGTTCTGGCGCCCCTGCTCACCTGCTCCACCATGCCGCCTCAGCAATGCCTGCCATGTTCTGTGCACGCCCTCTGGTGGTCAGCTCACGTCATAACGACCAGTTACATATTAGTCTTTTATTATACAAGATATACATTTAAATATATACATAAAGTATGTATATATTCAATATATATTTTTATTTCATGAGAAATAAAATGAATCACTACAGGATAAGACACTAGGTTCAAATATTAAGCCAACCAAGGTAAATTCTTTACTGATCTCTGTACTCCACCCCCCCCCATTAGATAGCTACCGATTACTTGAGCTGACAGACTTAGAATTACAACCGTTTTTGCCACCATTCATAACAAAAGACAAATCAAAGTTGTTCTTTTCACATGTGGATCTTTATTCTTAGCCATGTGCACTGAGGTCAGAGTCTCCTCTGGCCTCTAGACCTGTCCTGAGCAGGTTGATGCTGCTTTTCTGTTTGTGGTTGGGTGGACTGGCCTGTTGTGACTCATCACCGCTGTTTCTGCCTATGAGTCATTTAGGGTTCTTAATGCAGAGGACAAGACGAAAAGAAGAGGGCTTGCAGGGTCAAACTCACTACTTGCCTGCCTGGCTTCTCTGTACGCAGGTGAGATATTCCTGCACATCATCCGGGGACCCCAGAATAAGGGGGACTCGTTGGTGAATGGCCTCGGGCTTCACGTCCAGCACCGGCTGGGTACCTGTGGTCGCCAAGCCCCCCGCCTGCTCAATGATGAAGGCCACAGGATTGCACTCGTACAGGAGCCGGAGCTGCGGAGAAAGGGTCAGGCAGGTTGCAAGTTGCCCCAAATCTCAAGCCCTGCCCTGAAGCTGGATGCAGAATTCCCACTGCTGGACTTCTGCCTGGTCAGTGCAGTGGGCTCCAGCCCCTCTGCAGAGGGGGCTGCCCGAGATCTAGCGCCTCGGGAAGGTTGCTGGGTACATCAGCTGCTGAGCAGGGCATGGGCCTTTTCAGGCACCGCTGCTCAACAGCTACCTGACTTGTGACCTGTGAGGGACCTGCCTCTTCACTGAGGCAGATGAGATCTCAGTGCCCCTTTCTTGCCAGTTTCCTCAGGAGGGAAACTGAATCTGTGGCCTGGTTAGAGGCGCTGTAGGTGAGAAAGCAGGCTTGGTTGGGGTTGGAAGGTCACCTCAGAGTGCTGGGTGCCCTCCCAGGATAACCCCAGTGTCCCGGGGAGCGGCAAGGAACTCCAATCTCAAGTGTCCACTCGGCTGAGCAGTGTGCTGGTACTTAAATTGCCTTTTTTGTCCCTTAAACTAAATGAATTCCCATTGCTTACAGCACACAGCATCCTGCACATCCTCTCTCACGGTCTGGCAGTGAGGCCTGCCACCTGCCTTCCTCCTGGTCACGCCCCTGAGGGCAGGCACAGCATCTATCTGGGTCACTGTGGCATCTCCAGTCCCAGTACGGCCGACACAAAGAGAGTGTCCAAACAAGGCTGCCACAGACCTCGCCTAAGGGCTCCCAGCAGATGGCAAAAATGGGGGAGGCGGGTAAAAGTGGCCCGTGCCCTGCTTGCCAAGCTGTGCCCATGGACCCAGGGCTGAGCCTGTCCGAACAAGGAATACCTTTTGTAAAAGGCTTGATGGAAACTAGCGGGTGACCTCTTGTGTCAATAATTCATGGTGAGTTGAACTGAAATGGGCTGGAATGAATGTCCTTTTTGGGTCTATTTATGTAATTATGTTGTGACGCCCTCCTCAGACTACCCCCACCAGACACACACAGACACACACACACACACACACACACACACGCATTAGATTCAAGGTGACATTCTAGCTAATTTTTCTGACTTGGTACCATTCTATCTTCTCCTTCCTTCCCCCGTAGATGCAAAATCTATAAATTTGAAAGTCCCTTTTCTATAATCAGCTTAGAAAGTGGTTGACCCAGCACTATGCAGCCTTTTCCTTTCTTTCCTTCACATTTATTTTGAAGACATGTTGGAACTACTTGGAGAAACAGCCATGTCTGGAGCTGATTGTTTTATTTTTGTTATTGCATGGGGAGGAATAAAGTGTGTCTGGTCTGGGTTGGAGAGCCAGGCACTCAGGAGAGAGTATGTTAAGACTCTGGGGCATTTACTTGCTATTTTGGTAAAAGAGTACAATGCCCCCACCTAGGCCTCCTGCCCTGAGAGTCGTGGGCAGCCTGGCGGGGCACAGCGGAGCCCCAGCACATGTGGACACCTCGAGTCCGCTAGTTTTGTCCCTGATCATCCACAGAAGGACACTGGAGGCCATGCTGTCCTGGTCAGGCCACCAGGGAGACTCTGGCTGGCAACTTGGAGAGCTGGGCTCTTTCCTCCCCTCTCCCTGGCCCTGGGGGTGAGGGCAGGGCTTTTGGGGGTCAGACACTAACGTCCCAGTGTAACCAACTAACCTATGTTTGTACCTTGTTGATTCAGACACTTCAAAATCAAACAAACAAAGCACAGCATTCTCACATAGTTTGTCCTGGAGCCAAGGTTTCTCTGACCTTAAGGGCCCAGGGTGTATAAACTCCTCTGGAACAATGCCCAGGGCTTCATGGTGCCTTGGCCAGTGGGCCTTCCAATCTATTTTTTTCTGCAGTTAAAATCTACACGGCTCTACAATGGCCTCAAATTCACTCATGGGAAACACACCTCATTTATTTTCTACCTGCTCACTCACAGACAGGCATGCCCAGGCCAGGCGGCAGCCGAGAAGCAGGTGTGAAGAGAAAGGAAACTCTAGTGGCTCCCTGACTGGGGACAGCCAGTGGACAAGGGAGAATTACCTTGCCCTTAGGGTTTTTCTGGTTCGCTGGGTATAGGAAAATCCCTCCATAGACCAGGGTGCGGTGCACATCGGCCACCATGGAGCCCACATACCTGGCCCCATAGGGCGTCCCGCTGTCCTAGAAAGCAGAGAGGGAAGAGACAAGATGCAGTGAGTTCTGCAATTAGCTAGCACCCGCTCCCGGTCACACATCCAGTTGGTGTGGCCTCTGCATTCCAGGTTCTCTGTCCTGCACCCAGCAGCGTAGGAATTGAAAAACATTATATAACTAAGCATTTCATTCATTAGGAGCCCCCATAGCTTGACCAGTGATTGAACTCATTAAATGAATACTAATTCAATTAAGACACTGTACCCTGAAACAATCTTAAGAGAACAGCTATTTTTTAAAAAAGGAAGTATATGTTGCAGAAAAGCAGATATGCCACCTCAAAATATGTCACATGGGCATATGGACTATTTTCAATTAAAGTTCCATGAGAGCTAGCCGATGCAAGAAGGGCACTCTGACCCACCTTTGTCCCCCGAAAGCAGGAAATAAATAACTCTCCCATGTGAAAGGTACCCTCCCCGTCCCAGGAGGGACAGCCATCCTTACAGCAGAGGCAGGGCATTTAGGGCTGAGAAGGCTGTATCAACAGACCTGGCTACGTCCTCACTAATTTACTGCCCTACACCCCCTTCTCTGTCCTCTCAATTCCTCACACATTTATTGTTTCCTTGTCTAAAAGGAGCTTTGGTCATTTGAGTTTCACATTTCTATGGGGCTCCCAGAAGTACAAAATTAAATGTTTTCTCCTGTTAATCTGTCAGTTTAGTTATTAGACCAGCCAAAGAACCTAGAAGGGAAGGAGAGAAAGGTTTCCTCCCTTGTGATTCACACAGTTGCTTGCAGCCCCCTGAAGCTCCCTGGCATGCCAGGCTTCAGAGCTCTCTCTGCTGCCCGCGAGCCAGGCCCCTTGAACAATGACAACGTTTGCACGTACTCCAAGCGTGTTCACCACGGGCAAACTCTTAAGCAGCTTTAGAAACCATTTCTCACTTAAAATAGTGTATAAAAACGTTATCATTTCAATGTGTGATCCACAGAAAACAGAACCCAGTCATGATTTTACATTTCCTTCTTCCACGAAGCTCTCCGAACCCGTGTGTGTCTCACTGCACATCTCCCATCAGACTCATCACAGCTCAAGTGTTCAACATCCTCATGTGGCTGTTGCGTTGTTAGTGCAGATTTCATTACAACCTTTTTCTTCTCATATTTCAAAAATGGTTAAATGCAGAATATTCTGTATGTCTTTTGTGGAGGGAGAGGTATTTTTATTTTTTTAATTGAATTTATTGGGAAGCAACCAATCGCTGCGTCTCTCTCACATCAATCCCGCACCCCCCACCCCATGCCCCCGTCCCTTCCTCTCTCTCTAAACAGCAACTGAAAAAATACCCCTGGGAGAGGATTTAAAACAAACAAACACACAGACAAAAGAAAAAGAGACTCTTCAAAGCTTCAAGTTAAGGTTGAGGCAGGACAGTCAGGTCCCAGCATCCTGCTGACTGAGTGCCCCCTGGTCCCACGGAATCCCACCAGGAGCTTCCACGTGGGCTTCCCACACCAACGCTTTTCCACTGTGTGAACAGGGCCCCTCTCACCACATCCCCAGGAGTCAGTGAGAAAGGGTCCCACTTGTAAACAAGCCTTTGTTTTACTCCCACTTTAGGCCAGACTTTACACTTGATCCGGAAATTCTTTAACAATGTGCCCATTTCTGCCTTAGAAGCTCTCCCTGGATGGCGGGCACGCTTAATGGATGGTTTGGGCTGTATTAACAGCCACATAAAGTCTGGAACCGGCTGATCACATTGAGGGTCAAAGAGCTCCCTAAAGTGTGGCGTAAACACAAGGCCCAATGTTAGAGCATGTGAATGGGACTTTCAAACGTAATTCCTCCATCTGAAAGCAAATATAACTGAGTGCCAGAATCTATGAAGCCCAGAAAACAAATGATGAGAGAGAGGTTCTGGCCTGAACTGCTGAGTTTCGAAAATATGGGCTCATTAAAAACAATTGCCCCTGAAAAAACTCACCGGGGAGTGTTATCTGTAGTAGGCAAACTTTAGCTATAGAAGCTATCGACTGCTTATGAAGGTTGAGTCTGCCGCTGCCGTAGACCAATTCCAACATGTCATAATTTCAAGAGTTTCATCAAAAGGTTAATGAGACTTGGGGACTCCACAGGGTTGAGTCACACATGTAGTCACCATCTGGGAATGGCTAAAGGCATTTCCCTAAACCTGAATAGGAAACTGATTGTGGCTGCCAGACAGTTAAAGGGCATCTTAATCTACATGTTATTGCCTCCTACTGGCTAAACACCTGAACAGCCGTAGGCTAATTCCCCCATTCTGACAATGCTTCTGTACCCTTTGAAACCTTACCCTTTGAAGTGTATTATCTCCACCTTGCCTTAGGACAAATGTGTTAATAAAAGCAAGGGTTCTAGACAAGGAGGGAGTCTTCAGTTCCTTTAGCTGAAGGTCCTCTGACCCCCAATGCCTTTCTTTTTCTGCACATATTCCGTGGTGGCAGCATCAAAATACTTGGCGTAGCCCTCATTGAGGCTGTAAATATTTCCTTTCTTTTTAATTTTGACCTCTTTTTCTACCAGAACAAATTCACCAAGAGCCTAGAAAGTTGAAGAAAAATACCAGTAAGACGAGAGATACCAGGAGACAGAAGCCAGCAGCACACTCCCCGACAATCACAGAACATGAGAAGACGTAGGCCTCCTGGAAGGGCCCAGGGGGTTGCCAAGTCCCTCAGCAGCCTGCCCAGTGATATTTGCATGAGATCAATAAAGAACAGTGACAATATTGAGTCTGCACAGGAAGCATAAGCAGGAATATAACAAGAGAGAAAATAATTCAAGGGAAGAGGGGAAGTTTCCTTTGTAACGTTCACGGTCAGCTAGACGACTCATTACAAGGAACCCAGCTGTATTTATTCCCCAACTCATCACCCTCAGCTAATTCCTAATGTTTTCAGGGAGACCTGGGCCATTAACAATGAGAGAACAAGTTACACAAACGGGGATTTGTCATAAAGGTGGGGAAGGCAGTTCAACCACTAATTTGTGGTCCAGTTATTTTATCTTAATAATTCAGTCTCGGAAACCATTAAAAGTTCCTGGTATCCCAGTTCTTATCTGGGGTAAAGGAGAAATCTCTTCAATCAGAAACTGTATGCACTTGGCATAAGGAATAGTTGATAAAAATTAAAGAAATCCTTAGAATTATTAATAACATTGTGCCCAGTCCCCCATGGTCACTATCTGTAGGACACCCTCAGGTATCCTGGTATTGAGTGTGGTTGACATCAGTCTTGACAATATTTGGCAAAGTAGCTCACAAGTGATAGGCAAAGCATCCAGATTTTAAAGAGAAATTCTGTAAGTTACTAATATTTTCCAAAATCTCTGCTGAACATTTTCAATGTACACTTGCCATGCAAGCTCAGCCTTCTTTTTTGACCTCTTGCATCTTTATCTAATTATTTCTTCCTTTAGCACCAGGCTATCAGGTTTCTCAGCTTCCCTGAGGCTGTGCATGTCTCACTGGGAGAAATCTGAGCATAACACAGAACCTGGAAAAGCAGTTTCCACCATCTCTCCTTCTATGGGGAAGAACATGTCGATTAGGGGAAGCCTTCCAAACCCAGGCTGTCCAATAGGGTAGCCAGCAGTCACAGGTGGCTGTTCAAGTTCATTAAAATGAAGTAACATTTTCAAACCCAGCTCCTCGGTCACACTGGCCTCATGGCGGGTGTTCAACAGGCACCTGAGGCCAGTGGCTCCCGCGTTAGACAGCACGCATCACAAAGCATGCCGCCACCACAGGAGTCCTAGTGCGCGGTGCTGCTCTACCGAATTCATGTTTCTGTCTGGAAATCGGCAGCACTGGATTCTGAAACCATTGTATTCCCGTAAACCAAAGAGGAA